GAGGAGAGGAGAAGGGAGGGGATGGGAAGAGTGGAGACAGGAAGGGGCGAGCAGTCTAGTAATCCCACACATATAAATAGACGAAGCCAAATGGGAAAATATGTGACGGGTCATAAACCAAAGACGGGTTGTCACGTGTGTACCTCTCACACTGCCCCCCCCCCACTTACCCCTCGCGTATATACCTCACTAACACTGAGCCACCCCCTCCCCCCCTCCTACAAGTACGAACCGGATTTTTTCACGTGTGTGTACAGTCGGGTCCAGTCTACGTATTGGTCCCGTTTACTTGTGTGTGTATGTGTGTGTGTGTGTGTGTGTCGGGCCCGCTATTGTGTATGTGTGTCGAGCCCGCTAGTGTGTGTACGAGACATAAGCACAAGCGTACCAGTTCGTCCAAGCGTATACGTGGCCAGTCTTGCACGCACCGGACCTCCTCTGCCTTAGTACAGTACGGTACCTCAGTTAGTGTACCGTATGTTAGTGAAGAAGCACTACGTGTTTTAACCCCACTGGCAAACTGATCATTAACCAACCAAATGCTACCGGGGGTGTGGTTAAGTTAGGTTATATCTAGGTTAGGTTACGTTAGTGTTGTGTTAGGTTAGGGTGGCTAATCTTCATGTGATGTATATACTGACAACCCTCCTAACTATACGAAAACTTGTGTATGTTTGCAAGTATACATACCAACTTTAACACATGGATGATTGTATGTATGACCGGACACATGATCAACGCTAATAACAGCTGATTAACGCCAATAACAGCTGATTAACAACAACAGTAAGGTGATCAAAGTCAACAGTAGCCAGGTGATAAAGACCAACAGTCAAACAAGGTGAAGTAAATATACAAAGTAGATGAAGAGAGAAAGAGAGAGAGAGCAATAAAGTGCCTAGGTAGCAAGAGAGATAATAAAGAGGAAGGAGAGGTAAGGAGGTAAAAATAGTATTATACAAGTGTGTCTATAAATCCGAGAAGCTGAAAATCTATGAACGTCAAAAAATCTGACTATCACACTCTAGTATCAATAAATCTGAGTATATTAAACCACGGGGCAGTGAATCTGGCTATTAAACTGAATATCGATAAATCAGTGTATCAATAAAGCCGAGCAGCTTTATAAATCGGTGTATCTATAAACCTTAAGTTTCTATAAATCGGAATGTCCATAAATCGGAGTGTCTATATATCGGAGTGTCTATAAATCGGAGTGTCTATAAATCGGAATGTCTATAAATCGGTTTCTTTGTGAAAATCTGATAGCGTGTGCTGAGCCCTGAGAGGAAAGATATCGTCCATTACATCTTGAGTCCAACACCTGTGCAGCACAAAACACTCACTCACACCTGTACTACACTGTAAACTCACCACCCCATACATTCATTAAACAGGTGTACTGTAATTAACTTGAACAGGTGCACCGAGGGAAAATATGACAATGGCCGGGTCAGTGTAATTTAAGCGTGCGTCAGAGTAATTATAAGATATACCCAAGTCAGTGTAATTAAGACCGTTTACAGGTGCGTGAGTCAGTGTAATTAACAGCCATAGGTGTGTACTAACTCAAAAGACTACAGTAAGTAAAGATCGCCTTAAAACTCTTAAATACAAAGAAAATGTAAAAGACAGCCACTGGGTCCTTTCGAGGCTGTCTGTCTGTCTGTCTGCCTGTCAGTAAGGAAGGAAGGAAGGAAGGAAGGACGGAAAGGAGAAAGATATAATGACGACGCAGGTTAAGTTATTATTAGCACCGTTTATTCGATCGAAGCAGCGCAGTCTGAACGTTTAGTAGTGAGGTACAGGTACTTGGCAAGGCGTGTGATGACGTGGGGTACATAACACGATATTGACTCTACTACTACTAATAAATAGTTCAAATTTAGTGAAGACACGACTATTGTTACTATCACTGTATTATCGTCAACTTATACAGTACTATTGATAAGGTTAAAATACTTTTATCTTTTACTGTATATATTAACATTACCACTACATTAACTATTATTTCAACACTCCATTTATAACATGATCCTGACTTTTTAACCATTATTATTATTATTATTATTTTATTACTATTATTATTATTAGTAGTAGTAGTATGTAAAATATTTCGCCTATAATAAACGCTAGATCCATAATAATAGATATTTACTTAGCCTAAACACAATGTTTACTCCACACTAACAACAATTTCCCCATTTATTAACTCGATGTTTTCCTCAGTGTTGATACCTTGGACCTTCGCTGTTTATTTACATGGCAACTCCTCACTGTCTGTTGCCTATTCATGTTTTTTTTTTTACCCCGAGTTAATCTGAGGAAAGTCGACCCTGATTTTTTACACGGAAAGAGAACGAAGGCCGTACCGTATAGAGATTAGACAAAGAAAAAGAACGTAATATAATCACCGTCTCTTATGATAGTAGTTCACTGTACCTATAATGACGTGGTGTATTAAGTATGAATAAGTGTTCAGTTCGTTCATTATTAGTCTGAGGAAGAGACAGTGTGTGTGTGTTGTTCTATAAGTGAGTATACTGGATAAACAGGTTAAGGTGAATAATACATTAATAGGAAATATTATACGGAAAACAGATAATTAACTCCTAAAGTAAGCGAGCCACGGATTTACACTACACCACGTGGATAATTTGACGTTTCATTCACATTTATAGGTCATTCTGGTGAGCGTAAGGAGACACTTATTTTACAATGCACAAAAACTAAAGCAAAATAAACTTCGCTACACTTATTTTGCAATGACATAAAATAAGGGAGGTTGAGGCCAAATACTTTAACACAGGGAGAGTGTATGAGTCAGTGACCTTTTTACCGGTATCTCTGACTTAAAAAGGTAAGGACTATGAGTGAGAGAGATAGAGTCCTCATATATATGTTGACTTACAAAACACACAGACAATGAGAATTTTTCACGTTTACAAGGACGAAGTTGCAAGGCGCAGTCCTGTATCTCACGGGATGCTTAATTACGCACCTGGGACGAGCGGGAGGGATGAAGTAACCACAGTGACGATTTTTTTCTTATTGAATTGAATTGTAATTGTTTACAGATTTAAAGTAAATTACTTCTCTGTACACATCGTGAGACAGTGAGTTTCGTGTACACATCGTGAGACAGAGATTCGTGTACACATCGTGAGACAGAGATTCGTGTACACATCGTGAGACAGAGATTCGTGTACACATCTTGAGACAGTGAGATACGTGTACACATCGTGAGACGGTGAGATTCATGTACATCGCGTAAGAAAAAAAAATTGTTTACAGACAGACGTGATGCAGGTACAGTACCGTACAGTAAATAGGGAGACGCGGCCGCGCCTGAGTCAGGAAACAAGCTATCGCCGCCAACTACCACCACAATAGTAACAAGCAAAACCCCGCCAGTGTTGCCACGACAAAAACACCCGCAACCTTTGATCCTTTTTCTGGCGGTGTCGGTGTAAGCGGCGGTAATGAGTGATCGCTCGCTGTACCAAAGCTAAAAATAGCCCCAGCTATGTGTAGTATTACCGACTGATCACAGTAATAGTAACTTAATGAAGGCGAACTTGTATCACGTGTACCATCGGTGGCTCATCACCATTACTTCAACTCCACCAAGTTGTGAAGTTAGTTAATAAAACACAGACAAGTGTTCATACAGACACGGTGTAAATCCTTAACCACTCTCCATTATGGTTCGCTGGCCATTGACGCTATACCTGTGTTTCTTGTACCCGGTAGACTGAACAAGGCACCAATGCGTAAGTCTTGTGATTCCGAATTTTGAATAAAAGTTTTCAAGACACATTAACATTCAGAAATATTTGTATATTAACTAAATACACACTTGTCAGCTGTGCCGCTCCAGTACAGTATATCGTGAGTTAGTTATTAATTGTTATTCAGTGTCCAGTGTACTGTACATGTTAACGTGTCTCAGTAAAACATAAATACAAACATTTACACCAAGAAGATTCTTATAAATATAACATTAGTGAGGACTTTATATAAAGAGTTAGTACCACACTCCTGTAACGCCTGTCTGTCACTAACCCACTTATAGAGTCGGATATAAAGTGTTAATAAGCTTATAAGTAATAACACTATCTTAAGTCTTAAAAGTCATTAATCCTAAAAAAACGGAAATACGGCCATGAGCCGAGCGCAGTCCACTCCGGGTGTTAATGTGATAGGTGAGGTAGGTGCCTAGGTGGCTGGCTGACCACCTACCACTTGGCTGCTCATCCTCTTTCTTCTTCTGCTGCTGCTGTTGCTGCTGCTGCTGCTGTTGTTGTTGTTGTTGTTGCTGTTGCTGCTGTTGTTGCTGCTGCTGCTGTTGTTGTTGTTGTTGTTGTTGTTGTTGTTGTTGTTGTTGTTGTTGCTGCTGCTGCTGACTGAATGGGGAGGAGCGCGGGCCACCAGAGCTGCTGCTGCTGGGCTGAGGGCCTCGCTGAAGCCCCGCGCTGACGACAGAACCTGAGGCCTTCAACTTTGTACCGCCTACTGCAGCTCCACTCCGCAGCGCCCCCGCACCCAGCCCTAACAGGGAGAGGCGGAAGTGGGCCGCAATCTCATTACCTACCCATCACAAGGGAGAGCAAGTTAGACATGTCAGTCCGGCCTGGGACCTCGGGGACCTCTATTACATGACATGACGTTGTTACCACATGAACAGTGGAACTTTTTGACTTTGAATACTTTGGAGGATTTCATTGACGTTGTATCCGCTAAGGGTACCAACAATGGGGCTGTTATTTGCTCTTTGGGCACAACCCGTATTGACAGAGAGAGAAAATTATACAGGACGTGGTTATAACCTTTAGCCGTGACTGTCAAATGCCAGGACAAGGGTCGGGAGGGGGAGATGATGAATGCCATCCAATGATCGTAGATGACATTCTAAAATCAATCAATGAGTGAATAATGGACTGTGTTACATGTCAGGCAAAGATACACACACAACCACAGAGGGAGGGAGTGAGACTTACCTGAAGGGGGCTTTGAAGACCCGTCGAAGGACCACACTCGGACGGGATGATGTTTGGCCGAATCCTTGTAGTTGGGGGCGACGGGGGCGGCTGGCAGGGATTCTCCTCGGGTGAGGGTGGGCCTGTGTCCCTCCTCGAGCATGGGCCGTTTGGGCACACTGCCCTCGCTGGGACTTTGGGCGTCGTCTCGCTCAAAGGATCTTTTTTGAGGTGCCGAGCCTGACGAGGATCCCGGAGCTCCTGGTGGGCGAGAGTGAGGGGGCGGCAGGGGTGGGTGGGCGGTGAGATGGGCAGGTGGCCTCACCAGGGAGGGCGCATGAGGGTCCTCGCGGTGAGCCAGGCCTGCAGGGAAGGCCAGCATATGTGGCCCACGTTGGCGGACGTCCCCTGAGACAAAGGCCACACCCGGGGCACCAGGGGGAGGCAGGGGCGCCGGGTGGCCGTGGGAGTGGGCGTGAGAGTGGGACCCAGACTGTGAGTGGGATCCAGGCTCCATCTTGATGCCGCCCTCCAGTTTAATAGGGCCATGGTGGGCACCGTTCTGGGCCTCCATGGGCACGCGAGGGTGAGGCTTGGCAGGACCCTGGCGGTTTTCGTTTATTCCGTGAGCTCGCTTCATCTGTCGCGCCGCCTCTATCACCAGGTCGATCCTGTCGGCGCCCTCATAGTTGACACAGCCGCGGCAGACGGGCTCAGAGAAGTCGTGCAACATAGCCCAGGGCATACGGGGCAGGTCGCACAAGTAGCAGTGTTGCCGCTGGCTCCGGTAAGACGACATGGCTCCTCGGCTCTCTGACAACATTCACCGCACTATAAACTTGACACTCCACTAGACACGCTAGACTATCACTTCAAAACTTCAAACAAAGGTAGCCACTATGGGCGTTGAGGTAAGATGCGACCGCCAGGAGTGTGGCGGAGGCGTGTGGGCGGGCCCAGTACACACTGACGCAGTGGTGTGAGGTACTCCTTAAGACGCAAGTCGTGGCACATTCCCCAAGAGCGGGCGCGCGAGTGTTAAGGAGAGGGGAGCGTCATAGCCGTGCGTCCGGACAGACGGGTTTTCTCAGACTGAGCGCCGCGTCTGGCTCACTCAGAGGCGAACATACACACGCACGTATGGTGACGTATCAGTGACGTAGTCAGTACGCAGACTCCGGGCGGGTGGAGGGACGGGTGGGCGGACCAGCCAACAGCCAAGCACGTCCCTCCTGCCTCACTACCCACCTTCCACCTCTTACACAACACCCCGCACCTCCTTAACAACACAACCACTTATTTGATCCACAAACACGGCGCCATTGTTGCCTCCCAGCCTCCAGTGATGCTGCTGCAGTGAACTAGACGAACACCAAGACACAAATAGCGAGGAGTCACGGAGTGTGGCAGGTCGGCCAGAACCTTGGCATCACATCACCAAGATAAACACTGAGTTGTTCCCCCTCACCCCCCTTCCCACCCTCCTACTCCCTCCCTTCTAACCCTCCCACACCCTACCTCCCTCCCCTCCCTACTCTCCCTACCACTGTTACCATGTGCGCCGCTCTTCTTACTCTCTCTCTTACTACTCATCTCTCTCTCTCTCTCTCTCTCTCTCTCTCTTGCATGTGTGCCTTGTGTATACCCGTGTGTGTGTGTGTGTGTGTGTGTGTGTGTGTATGTGTGCGTGCTCTTTCTACTTCCTCTCATTCCTTCCATGTCATTCTTTTTATTCCTTCACTTTGATTCATTTTCTTTACTTCAGTCTCTCTTCCCACAATTTGTACTGCTCCAACACCTAAACTTAACACACTATAGAAGAGCACGGACATACATGTATACTCAGTGTGTGTGTGTGTGTGTGTGTGTGTGTGTGTGTGTGTGTGTGATAATTGAGTCCTGCAGCTTATTTACACAATTACTGTTACCTGTATTTTACACCTTTACACTAATATCACCATAGTATCATTAAATAAACCTGAGCGTGATATCTGTACCCACACAGGTGTTTCGGATCGCTTGACTATAAGACACCCTAACGTATTTCACCCTAATTAACTGGGGTGTTTAATTTTCAGGTGAAATAAGCTGGGGTGGTTAATCTTCAGGTGAAATAAGCTGGGGTGGTTAATCTTCAGGTGAAATAAGCTGGGGTGGTTAATCTTCAGGTGAAATAAGCTGGGGTGGTTAATCTTCAGGTGAAATAAGCTGGGGAGTTTAATCTTCACGTGAAAAAAGCTGGGGTGTCTAATTTTCAGCTGATCCATGTTTCTCAGTGAAATTCGGGAAAGTGAGAATATTACTCAGGTTGAAAATGTGAATCACAGACGCGGCCCACGGTGTTGGTGAGCCACCCTCCCTCCCTCCCTCCCTCCCTCCCCCCGGGGCTCCTGATGGTGAAAAATGCAACCTGAGAGGATTGCCACCATCGACCCACTCACCCACGAAGAAGACAAACGCGGCACAACTTGGGACAATCACCCAGGTGGAGGAGGAGGAGGAGGAGAAAGAAGAGGAGGAGAAAGAAATAGAAGAGAAGGTGAAAAAAGATGAAGATGAGGAGAAAAAAGGAAAGAGGAAGATGAACAAAAGAATGTGGAGGAGGAGGAGGAGGAGGAGGACACTCAGGTTTAATGAAGATGTTTCCGCGTGAGGTAAAAACAAACCAGAGAGAGAGAGAGAGAGAGAGAGAGAGAGAGAGAGAGATGACATTAGTAATACAAATAACAATGTCTCCTACCGTACAAGTTACGAAACACGTTGGAAATAAACAAACACTTATCTCTACACAAACACACAGACACATTTACGTCACGCCAAAATGTCAAGACAGCCACCAGACAGACATACGTACACACTCGTAGCCTTACAAGAATATACTAAGCACATTTCTTCCAGTGCTAAGTCTCAATAATCATTAATTTTCGCGTATTTGATGAAATAATAATAATAATAATAATAATAATAATAATAATAATAATAATAATCATAATAATAATAACAATAATAATAATAATAATAATAATAATAATAATAATAATAATAATCATAATCATAATCATAATCATAATAATAATAATAATAATAATAATAATAATAATAATAATAATAATAATAATAATAATAATCATAATCATAATCATAATCATAATCATAATCATAATCATAATCATAATCATAATCATAATAATAATAATAATAATAATAATAATAATCATAATCATAATCATAATCATAATCATAATCATAATAATCATAATCATAATCATAATCATAATCATAATCATAATCATAATCATAATCATAATAATAATTATAATAATAATCATAATCATAATCATAATAATAATAATAATAATAATAATAATAATAATAATAATAATAATCATAATAATAATCATAATCATAATCATAATCATAATCATAATAATAATAATAATAATAATAATAATAATAATAATAATAATAATCATAATAATAATAACAATAATAATAATAATAATAATAATAATAATAATAATAATAATAATCATAATCATAATCATAATCATAATAATAATAATAATAATAATAATAATAATAATAATAATAATAATAATAATAATAATAATAATAATAATAATAATAAACCATAACAACAACTAACAACAACTAACAACAACAACGATAATTACAACAACATAAACATGAAGCGGTTCAGAGCGCCATAATCAGTGTGTAACTGTGTATGAACCCCCCCAGGAAACGGAAAGGTTTTAATTACAGAAACACACCAGGGGTTTCTCCTCAGCACGCGGCTTAGGTGGATTCGAACGTGTGTTTTGGCGTTTGTGGTATATATGTACCCAACTTCCACCCACCCCTTCCCTAACTTAATAAAGATCAAGGACTCGAAATACTGGTGATGTGAATTCAACGGGGAAATTGAAAAATAACCTGAGCTTCTACAAAATAACATTATATTTGTTCTTTGTTATACTTAAGTAGAACAGATTAAAGAAAACTTAAAAAGTAGATTAAAAGGAGATGTTATATTGCATTTGGGGGGAATATGATGTAACCCCATCATGAGAGAGAGAGAGAGAGAGAGAGAGAGAGAGAGAGAGAGAGAGAGAGAGAGAGAGTGTGTGTGTGTGTAGACAATCATTCCGCTGAGGATAATTATCTTAGGATACTCCAGCAGCTCTCCGGCTTACTCGTCAGACCAGCTGTGTCCTGCACCAGCTGTGTGAAACAACTAACCGTTCGAGGTGACCCAACAGGTGTGACTCCTGAGCACCTGTTTGCGTGGACACACTGCTGGCCGCCGTCCCCGCCGCCACCAACCTCCCCTCCCTCAACATAGTGACAATAAAAGCTTCTACCCTTCTCGTTTTTCTCTTTACCCCATTTCACTTCGGAGCCTTTTCCGACTTTCTCACTCCCCACCTCAGCCTACACGACTGACCACATCCCCTCGTCCCCCCCCAAAAAAAAACAATTCCCCTCCCAACCACCCGCAGTACTTCCTCCCACCTCTTATTCAGCACCCCCAACTTCCTCAATAACCCCCTTCTCCCCAACTCCCTACCACAGAACCGCTTAACTAGTTCTTCCTCCCCATTAACCCCCCACCCACTAATAAACCCTCCCTCCTACCCCCTCCTACCCCCCCGCCTCCTCGTAAGTCGAAAAAATATGCTGGGGGCTAACGGGTCGAGTCGTCGATATCTTGAGACTCGCTGACTGACCAAACCTGTCGTACGAGTAAAGGGCAAACCTACCTACCTACCTACCTACCTACCTACCTACCTACCTACCTCTATCCACAAGGCAGAGAGGTAGGTGAGAGACGGGGGGGAGGGGGGGTTAAGTGAGGGAGATGCAGGTTGGTGTAGGATATGGTGAAAATGGTAATGCATGATAGTGATAATAATGATGATGATGATGATGATGATGATGATTATGATAATGGATGATGATAATGATGGTTTGATGTAATGAAAGGTGGGAGGAAGGGGGGAGGAGGGAAAGGGAGATGTACTAGTGTAGGTTGGTAATAACAAGTGACGATGATGCTGACGATGATGCTGACGATGATGCTGACGATGAGGAGGAGGAGGGGGAGGAGGAGGGCAGTGATAGTGATGATGACGGTGGTAAATAATATAAACTGGGCTAGGGAGGAGGTGAAGGATGGTGAGAATAATAGTGACAAGCTAAATAAAAGGATGATGAAAAGCGTCTTTGTCTCAACGAATGAAGGACGGAAGGACGGATAGGAGGATAACGGACGGATAAAAGAGAGAGAGAGAGAGAGAGAGAGAGAGAGAGAGAGAGAGAGAGAGAGAGGAGAAGCACTGTATTTATTGTCGTAAACCCTGATCACGGAGGGCCCACACGCACACACGCACACGCGCACACACACACACACACACACACACACACACACACACACACACACACACACACACACACACACACACACACACCACCATCACCTCATCCATACCACCACCACTACCACCTCACGTACTCACTCACCCATTGTCATCCACTACCACACCTCACCCACTCACTACCCACCATCTCCTCATTATCTACCTCCTCACCCACTACTGTCTCATCCACTCATCCATCACACACCTCACGTACTGACCATCGCATCACTCGCCACCACCTCACCCACCACCATCACCCGTCTTTAACTTAATACTCACCCAAGTTTAACCAATTTTAACTAAGTTCTCTGGGGGGCAGTGAAGCAAAGGAGGAGGAGGAGGAGGAGACGAGGATAAAAGTGTTAAAATGATGGATGAATCACAGGACGGCAGAAATTGAAGGGTGGGTTAGGTGGGTTAGGTGGGTTAGTGCTAGTGGGCTAGGTGGCTGGGTTAGGTGGGGCTGGGTTAGGTGGCTAGGGGTGGGTTGGGATTAGGGTTAGGGTGGGTTGCTAGGTAATAGGTGGCTGGGTTAGGTGGGCAGGGGTGGCTGCTAGTAAGAAAAGGCTAGGTGGCTAAGTTAGGTGGGTTGGGTTAGGGTTAAGGCAAGGTAAGGTCAGGTCAGAAGCCTGCAATATGTGTCAGGGTTAGAGCAAAAAAAGAAAACAAAGGCAGATATGTAAAATTGTCCCTCCCTCCCTCCATCTGTC